TTCTACCTAGATGTTAGAGAATTTAAGGTAATTCAACCTAAAGATTTTCACAATATTCATAAATAAGGTTTTCTTCCATAAAAAAATAAAATTGATTTTTTTCTTTCAAAAAAATGAAAGGAATTATTATTAAACATCAAGTTGAAACTATTTTCATCCAATACCAAAAGATAATGCATGATTAATTGGTACCATTTTTAAATACGCGTTGTGGGTGCTAATCCTTCCTTATACCTAAACCCAGCTCTATTTTCAAAGACCAAAAATATCTTTTTAATAAAATTTAAACTAGTTTTAGGTTTTGATTAAAAAGATAAATTTTTAGGTAACCAATCACACCTAACAAACAAGATTAGTGGTAACTCCATTATTTTAATTTATAATTTTTTACGTCCTATGGTCAGGTTCACAAACCCATATGTTGTGACAAAGACTTATAAATACTTTCTAGTTGTTGAAAGCATATAAATCCATATGTAAAATGTATTCAGGGACTTATAGATACTCATTGTGTTGTATAATGATTTGGGTATATACTCCTATTAACATTTTTCGTTTATGGCCATTTGATTGACCTAGATTCAGATTTAACAACTTATGTTTCCAAGTGGGGGATTGTTATAATTACCTCCATTAGTGGACTAACAAAGTCATTATATACCTAATTATATTAATTAATGTCAATTAATGAGTAATTTTTGTAGTACCATGTTGTAATATACTCAAATTAGTAGTATGATATTCGTCAAGTGTGATCCTGAATTAATTTTATATTTAGACCTATTATGGATTGATAAATTTTAATTAATGTGTTAAATGAGGTCTTTACTCTCATCCTATATACATGAGACTAGCCTATTAGATTACATAACTTCAGTTTCGAGTAGAAAACAATTTTCTTTCATATCTTTTTGTACAGGTCTTTATTCGGACCCTCGAAAAAAGCATCGAGAAACATAGGACTATAGCTACAATTTTGTGGACTTCAATTTAACGGGATTGAGCTCTCACCCATATCCAAATCAATTTTAATTTTCGTATAAAATTATGTTAGTGAATTGATAAATTTTTGTTTAATTTCATCAAAACATTGTTTTTCTTTTTCCTTTCTTCACAACATTTTTAACTTTAAAAATTATCTTTGTTTTGGTTCATTAATAAATGTTTTTCATGTTGATGTGATAAAACTTGTAAACTCTATTAAGTACAATGAGTACTAATTTACTTATACCAATTCAAGTTTTATATTTTTTCAACTGATCCTTATGAATAGTATTAAAGTTATTTCACCTAAAGCTTGCATTTATGAAACTTTCACTGTTCATGAAAATGGAAGAGGCTTCTCACTTATAATGAGTTATGGTTCATTATAAATCATAGATCTAATAGGTATCTAACGAGTATTGCATACTTTTAAAACAGATGTCCCAACACAAGGAAACTTTTACGACACCTCTTGGCTACATATCTTGTTGAATGAGATATTAAAGAATTAGTTCAAAATTTTGCATAGTGAATTTTAATAATTTTTTTTTAGATCTCGCTCAAATAACTTATCCTCTTAGACAAATACTAAAGAAAAAACCTCCATAGATTTGAAATTACAATAAAGATGCTCAAGGTCAAATGTTATTTTCAAATCCTGAAGATTACCTCAGATGGCAGAAAAATCTTACAGACTGATGCAAGTGATAGGTCTATAATTCTTCTTGAAGAGAAAAATAAAAAAAGACAAATATGCATATACAAATGCAACAGATTCAAAGATTCAAAAATTCATTATCATTCTACACTCAAAGAGATTTTAGCAATAAAACATAAAAACCCAAATATTTGAATTTCATCTCATTGGTTATCATTTCCTTATGGAATTAGACATGATAGCCTTTGATTAGATGAAAATTTTCAAGAAAAAACATATACCAAATGCATAATTGCTAAAACTCTCCTAATGATTTTTAAAGTATTCTTTTACCACAAAACATATAAATGAAAGGAATTTTTCAACATATTATCCATAACCTACTTCCTCCATACTTTTGAAGATCATCAACATGCAATGATGAGCCTAGTCCTTTCAACCTTCCATCTTAGACATCCAGGTGAGAAATCTTCTTCCAAATATCCAACAAATAATTGTAAAAAAAAAAACGCTTGATAACAAAGCAAAAAAACTAATTTATAAACTCCAACTTGGTCTTATAAGAGCTCATACTGACCATGGATTTAGATTAATTGGCCTACACCCACAACACCCTTTTCTTTACTTGCTTCAAATACCTCCCCCAAACCATATGTACAAAGAAGCCTTTATCCTTTTGTGGTACTTTTGTCTAGTGTACACCATTACCATTGAATTTAATGGGTCAGATCTCCATTGTGAATTATTCCATTTGAGCAAAAAATTACTTCTAGGCTCTTAGGTCAACCATAACTTAAGATTTTCTTTGAATGGTTTAAGCCCATTCACCAATGGCTTCAATACACTTCATAGATCAGGCATATTTCTTTATGTTATTATGTCATTTTCATGTTTCACAAACATGCCAGATAAATGATGATGTTACAATCAACTTTAAGGTATATTCAGATATTTATGCCTATAACCCTTACTCTTTGTACAAAAATATTGTTCCTATACCTTGAAGAATTTCAACTTTTGCTCAAATAACTTTACAAAATCAATAAGGAACACATTCTCAAGATTCTAAAGAATTGCAATCCTTCAAAAAAGAACCATGGTGGTGGTACCCCCATAATACATCAAAGAATTATATAGTCATCTTGATAAGTGGATCTTAACACCTCCTTGGACTAATTGGTGAAGTGATTTTATCACAAAAACTTGTGAATTTTGATCTCTTGAGTTTTGCAGAATTGATGTAACTTCCTATATTGGCAAGATCTATATGATATCACATGGATTAGAGAGAAATTTAAATTAAAGCTTTATGATCAGTAGTTGAAACCTCAAGAAAGAGATCCAAAAATTTTGAAGAAGAACTATTTGAATGGGTTGATCATCACTTGTTTAGTTAATTTTGTGATCGATTTAGAGAATAAAGATCCCATGTTATCTTTCTTGTTTTAATCCAAGTTATGTATAATTATATGTATAACTTTGTTCAGTTTGTTTAGTGTGAAAATATCCAAATTTAAAGCTCTTACTACAATAAGACAAAATTGGTGATGACAAATCAACATCAACTTTTGTCAACATCAACTTTATGTCAAGCATTATGTCAAATATATTTTACGTTTACTTTATGTTAAAGTTATATCAACTTTATTAAAAGAACTTTAATAAATAGAAAGGAATATATTCTCTTACATTAACTTTATATCAAGTTTTATGTTAAGTTTACTTTATATCTACTTTATGTCAAAATCATTTCAACTTTATTAAAGGGACTTTGATAAAAAGAAATGAATATTTCTCTCACATTAACTTTATGTCAAGTTAATGGCAAGTTTACTTTATGTTTACTTTATGTCTACTTTATATCAAAATTATATCAACTTTATTAAAAGAACTTTGATAAAGAAAAATGATTATATTCTCTCTTTATTAAAGCTACTTTATTAAAATTATCTTACTATTTATTTTTATTACTTTATGTCATAGTCTTAGGTCATATCATGTCTAAGTTATTTGCTTTTCCTTTTTCTATATAAGCTTGTAACCTCTATCTTGTAAATTGTGAATGCATCCTATCTACCACGTAGACCTTATCCTCTAGTTGTAAAATCTATTGTGAAATACTAAGTATGTGTTTCTAAACTTCCTCTTTTTTTACTACTCTATTCCATTCCCATCTTAATCTTATAAGTAATTCTTAACCTTTATATCAATGGTTTATAGTGATATAAGTTAGTATATTTTACAGTTGCTATGGTATTATAGATCTTCTACATTATAATTCTTATAAATTTGTAAACAAACTATCGCTTCATTTAATAAAGAAAAGTTACTGTACCAAATAATATTAAAACAGGCTACCATAGCAAAAGGTATAGTTTCATAAAAGTCATGTCACTAACTTGTTGTCATGTCAAGAGGGCACTTATTTTTTAACATTGACTAAAATACATTGATCTTATGCCTAAACTATGAATTATTTATATTTGGTATCTCTTTGAGAAAGGGAATCAATCTTTGTGAATAGTATTATAATATTTTTAATTTTAACTATTTTAATTTAAAGATAAAAAATTTATAAATTTGACATTAATTTAAATAGATACCTCCTCAATAAGTAAATGCTTTTACTTTTTGTTTTCAATCCTATGTTAATTTTTAATTTATTTTTTAATTTTCTCCTATTCTATTATTTTTTGGATTTTATTGACAGGTATCATAAAGTCCTTCTTTAAAGTTAGTCAATATACTATTTTTAATAATATTTTTATTAAATATGATAGTTGACAATTAAAATTATAAATTTTAACACATTGAAAAATAAATTATTTAATATAATAACTAAAAAATACTCTTAAAATACAAGTTAACAAATTTTTATTTTTATGATAAAAATATAAAATATAATTATAAAAAAGTATTAAATATTTTTTTAATATAATCAAAGGTATCCCTGACCATATAAAAACATAAACGGACCGATACTCGCTATGATTAAAAAACCAATTTAGGAAAGTTTTCTCATTTTATCACATAGTCAACCATTAAAGTAAAAGAAAAGGAATTCAAAATTTTAAAAAAAAAATTGTGCATTCAAAATTTTTTTCCTAATTAAAAAAATTTGGAAGCTAGCAAGAATCCAATTAAGATAGTTGGTTATTATAGTTGGACTTCGAAATTTAAAAAAAAAAAAAATTTGAATCACGCGAAAAAAAAATTTTTTAACCAAGCTTTTATTATTTAGTGTTATATACTAGTATATATATAATAGTATTAAATTTTTTTATTTTGAGAAATTATTTTTATAGCATAGAAATATGTTATATAATAATACTAGAGTGTTTTATTTTTATACCATAGAAATAGAATGAAGTAAAAGTAAGGGGAAGAACTTAAAAAAAAAGAAAAGAAAAAACACGTTTTCCTAGCAAAGCAAAGACCGCGTCTATAAAACGCATGCCTTAGTCTTCTCTTCATATTTTGCTCGTATCAGCTCTTGTCTAACTCTCTCGGTCTTCCTCGGTTCTCTCTCGCGCGGATCTCTTCTCACCGGGTAATTTCTAGGGTTTCTCTTTTTCTTCTAATTATAATTCTTCTTTGCTACAAACACAGGTCTTTGCTTCGATCTGTTACTCTTTTTTTTTTTCTTTCGTCTTCTTCGATTTTGCGATTTAGGGTTTTTTTATTTGAATAAATTGATTGTTGCGGTTGATTAATTTGTAATGATATGGGAACCTTAATGTTGTTGTAAACAGGGTTCATATCGTACGCCAAATGACTTTTGACCTCAGTTGGGAACAGTCGCCATCGATTCTTTGGTGTGATTTTGGGTTTACGAACCGTGGGAGGCTGTGGTGTTGTTCTCAAAAATTCTCTTTTAGGCATTGGACTTGGCCCGTTTTCCACGCGTCAAGCATTATTTGATCCTTTTTCTTTTTTGGATTACTTGATTTGGTTCTGTTGCTTTACCTTTATTCTTAGCGGAATCACAAGTTTCTAATTCACTTGCTCGTGAGTTAACTCATTTATTATTGGGTATTGGGACTTCAATTTTGGGACTTTAGTGATGGGGAAAAACTCTTTGCCACCGGGGTTTCGTTTTCACCCTACTGATGTTGAATTAGTTAAGTATTATTTGAAGGGGAAAATTTTGGGCAAGAAGATTTCTTTCAATGCCATTGCTGAGGTTGACATTTATAAATACGCTCCCTGGGATTTACCAGCTATGTCGAGTTTAAAAACTGGGGATCTGAAGTGGTTCTTCTACTGTCCAATTGAGAAGAAATACGCCAGAGGGGCTAGGTTGAATCGTGCTACTGTATTTGGGTATTGGAAAACTACTGGAAAGGATAGGCCTGTTAAGTACAATGAAGAAGTTGTGGGGATGATAAAAACTTTGGTTTTTCACCAAGGTAAAGCTCCACGTGGGGACAGAACAGATTGGGTAATGCATGAATATAGACTTGAGGAAAAAGATTTGGCTGACAGAGGGGTTGTTCAAGATACATATGTGCTTTGTGTTGTTTTCAAGAAGGATGGTATGGGCCCAAGAAATGGTGCCCAATATGGAGCACCATTTAAGGAGGAGGATTGGAGTGATGATGAGGATAAAAATTTGCCTGTGACTGGCTCTCTTTCCAGTATGTCAATGCTAGCCATTGGTGGTGCTAGTAGCTCATGTGTCCCTGAGAGCCTATGTGCTGGACCATCTGTTGAATCAAGTGGGTTGTACACTCTACCTCTGGTGGTTCATGCTAATGCTGCTGTTAGTGTTACCGCTGATATTGATAGTAATGCTTATGCCGCCCCTATATGCATGGATGCTCCCCAAGTTCCAGTGGTTGCCAATGCTATGGCTGTTCCTGCATTGATGGAGGCTCCTCAACTTGCCCAGGTTCCTCAAGTTCAAGAATCAAATGATAACATTTTATCAATGTTGGAGAACTTCATTGAAGATGAGGCATTTATTACATATGACAGAGGTCAAATGACTGGTAATGCTAATGATTCTTTCTTCCAGGCTCCTCAAGTTTCTGATGATGATGATATCACATTCATGTTGGCACCCTTCACGGAAGAAAGCGATTTGAACAATGTTTTATATCCCTTTGAATAAGATGTCATAAGATATATACTTTTAACTATTGAAACAGCTAGTCTGCATTTGGGCAATGTTTTTAGACGAGTTCTTGTATTATTAGGAACAAGTTTTTCAATTGTGTTGCTGCTGTTTGGTTTACCATTTGAGATAAAAGTTGTAACAACTCCCTTTGGGATTTGTTTCTTAGTTTGTTTCGGTTTGATTATCAGCTTATGCTTTTATAATTGTTTTTATGGAAATTCAGTTTTAACATGCAATGTGTGGTGGCCTTGACTGATATATGTTCATATCATGTTTCAATGAATGCTTCATAGTCACATCTGTGGAATTAATGGTTCACTATGGCTGTGTGGAATTTTTTTTTTTAATAAGGTTTAAAGACATTCCTGCATTCAGTTTCTACATGTTTTTAAATGGTCCTCTTTTTTATATTCGGATAGAATCGTAAGGCAAGTACATACAAGCAATATTACAGGTATATGAGATTTTACAGGTTTTGAAAATTTGAAAATTGAAAACCGACTTGACCAACTTGGGAACCGACTGTGGGATCTGAGAAGCCAATAGCATTGGCCGTAGAGGAAAATGAGATTAGGAGAGTGGTTGGATTCTAAAATAAATCTACTTTCTGTTTGCTTACCTTAATACTCAACTTGCAGTTATCTCAGAAGTTTGTTTACAAAAGCACTGCTACATAGAAAAGCATTTCCTTATTCTAATTTCCTATGATTCTTTTAGTTGCCGAAAAAGCTGTATCCGAATTTTTTTTATGTCCGGACAATGTCCGCTGTCTGACTACTCGTAGAAAATTAAAGCTCTTGTGGGTGGTCATCCGACTGTTATCGGTCCAAAAAACCTCCGCTTGAGTAGCATATCTGTTTTTTTCTTCTTTTTTTAAATCAAGTATCCCGTAAGAAACTAAGGAAATAAATTAAATAGAGAAAGGTGTCATGGGCTCATGAATCGCCAACTGACAATTTCCATCAAAATGTTCCCATTTCAGTCAAATCGACCAAAATGTCTTGCTGATGCAAATCATTTCAAATATTCAAAAAACTCACCAGCAAAATGTTTTATGAATGGTCATTGTTCAAGCTTTTTTAATGAACTGAGTTCAAAAACCAAAAAAATCTGAAATCTCTATACTTTTGTAATACTAAATATGTTCAAGAATTGAGGTATTAATTTATAATCTAAACTACCATACAATATGAACATAAAACTTCTATGGTGTAAACAGAACATATGATTAACACAAATCAAAGGATCTCATCAACGGCAACAATTAATCATTAAGGATAGTCAAAATCTTCATTGCTATAATATATAGTGCATAAAATTATACTCCCTCTAATATAAAATATTTGCCATGTATTGATTTTTAAGAAGTTTAAGAAAAAAATTTTGATTTTAATGTAGTCACTATTAAAATTTAATTTTTTTTATAAAACTAAGTTTCATGATTTTTAATGTAAAAAATTTAAAAAAATCATAAAAAAAATAATTTCAAAAAATAAAAAGTAAAAGTTTTAGATATTCAAAAAAGAAAATAAAACATAATTTTGGGACACCCCATAAAGGAAATATGAATAAAGAAAATGGGACAAAAAAAGTAGTAAAATAAGATAAAATAATATTATGAATATTAATAGATTAAAAAAACATCATTTTATCTTGTATTTGATATGTGCAATAATTAAGATAAGGTAATTTTATTTATTAATCAAAATTATCCTTCATCGAAATTTATATAGTTAAAATTATTGATTATGATTTTTAATGGTATAATAGGACATATAAGTTCAATCTCATAAATTAAAAATAATCATTTTCACTTTAGGAGAATTAAATCATCTTATGCCAAGAAGATTAATTTTCTTTGCAATCATATCATTTTCTTTTGATACAAACCAAATATTATATAAAATTATTATCATTCCATCTTATCTATTATTTTATACACCAAACATAACTTCATATTTTGCAAGAATAATAGTAATACATAGCGTAGCATAAAGTAAGAAAAGAAATTAAATTTTTATTTTTTTGTTTCTTTTTATTTTAATTTAAGTACAATTTTTGAAAAAAAAAGTACTCAAGCCAAATTTTTTAGTAAGACACATGTACACTTATTATCAAAAGAGTTTTTGGCAACGTGAACATGGTAGGATTTCTCATCGCATTGAACATTATAATTAAGAAATAATTAGGATTGCAGTGTGATAAAAGAGATGGACATTGCATGGCACAACGGTCGAACATGATAAGTTTATAACTGGTTTAGCTGGTCTCCAATTTAATATGTGCCAAAATGAGGTATGTAAATTGCATGACACATTATATGTAGGTGACAGAGAAGAAAGGGAAAATTGAGGGACTCATCAGACAATTCAAAAGATTAAAGCAACATTGGCTTTTTAGGTAAAAGAATATATTAGTTATGAAGTGATCAAAAAGTAGAAGGGTATACATAAAAGAACCATTAGACAAGTTTCTCCCAAATCAAAACATAACTGGTTTTAGGACCAAGAACCAAAGGCAAACCATACTGTCTTTCCTCATTTACTCCACCAACTCTTCCCCTGCCCCCTCTACTTGACAAATAAGGTAACAAAGTTGATGAGCCTAAGGAAAAATGAAAGGGGATGGGGACCAAATGAAAGGAAGAATGTACGCAACTGGCAAGGTCAAAAAAGGTTTACAAGACTATAAAGAAGTAATAATGCCAATTGCGAAGTTTGATTGATGGCTATATTGGGGCAAAACCTGGATGGACAAGAGTTAACTTTGCTTAGCACATGCAAATGTAACTGTTGGGGATATTTAGTGGTTAAAAGGGCATAGTTGTCTTTTTCTATGTTAGAAGGCTTCAGCAGACAACTAAGAATAATTTCAACATTTGTGATGACCTAATATGTTAGGTCAATATGACATATCCAATGCCATATCAGCTCAGCATTGTCATTTTTATCCCTAATGGTTTTCCGTTAATTATCTATAAATATGAAAGTCTAGACACCATAAAGTCAAGTTCATACTACTCATATTTCTCCTTATTACTCTCCTTTCAACCTAACATATTCTGACTTACGCATTGAAGTGCAAGCGTAGGAAACACCCATTGTTTTTACCTCAACTGCCATTCTCTTCTATCTTTCCAAGAATATCCTAAGATCAGAGCTTAGCATAAACATTTGACGCGCCAGGTAGGGATCTTTTTCGACTCACTAGTCAAGCACAAAACAATACCACGAAGGAAAATAACCTTAAAGGAAAAAGAGACAGCCATCTTAACCAAAATAGAAACACATAATAGTTAGCACTCAGAACGACCTCCCTCGCCACAAACAGGTCGACTATATACCAATTTCAGGCCTTAACCGAACAAATCCAGGCTCTTAAATAGATGTTGTAGACCATAACTCCATCACAAGCTTCAAAATTGTTTAATCTAATCACCCCTAGCCAAGGAGTCATGATAAGACAACCAAGCTATAAGGAGCTAGAAGCCTTCTAAGCCTCCAAAGAAGAGGAGTATAACACTCCAGTTCACCATTATGCCAGTCACAATTCGACACACTCCATAACCTAAAAATCTAAATAGACAAACCCTAAACCCCAATCAAACAAGGACTTGAAAGCTTGGATGTAGGTCATAGAGAAAAAATTGAAAACAAAAGTAGTGGCATTTGGGGATAAGCTTAAGTTCTTGGAAACCTCGCCCTTTACCGAAAAAATTGATAGAGTCATGCCTCCCAAGAGATTTAAAATGCTGACCTTGAAAACTTACGACGGTATTTCCAATCCCTTCAATTATTTGAAACTTTATAGGACTAACATGATGATGAAAGGAGATGTGTAAAGGCCTTACTACCACTCTAAAGGGTGTAGCACGATCTTGGTATAGCAATCTAGAGTTGAGGTCAATTATGACATTCAAAAAGCTCAACCATTATTTCTTATCTCGATTTGTAAGTAACTAAAGAGCAAAGAAGATAATTTTAAGTCTGATGTTGATCCACTAAGGTCATAATGAATCTTTAAAAAGCTATGTTACACATTTTAACGTGAATGTTCTATAGGTTAAAGATGTGGAGCAAACGGTCCTTGTAACCACTCTGACAAGTGGACTCAATTATAAAAAATATCACTTAAAATTAACCTTATTGTTAAAACCACCTAAAACTCTAGCCGACATCCTACTGATAGCTGAAAAATATAAATGCCGAACCTATAATGAGAAACAACCGAGGTGAAAGAAACCCATCTCCTCTTTTTAACGGTGAAGGTGAGAAAGGTTCATCATCCCTCTTCAATCGTAAGAAAAGCAACGATTTTTATGATCCTTCTGCATGAGAGAGACAAAATAGAGCTAGAAACCCTAGTGGAGAAAAAAACTACACTGCACTGAATACCTCTTCAGAAAGGACTTTGATGCAAATTGAAAGAAATCTAACCTCATATGGCTTAAACCATCGAAATAGAGCACAAAGAGAGATCTAACTAAAAGATATGCCTTTTATAAGGACATAGACTATAATGTTGAAGATTGTATCGACCCAAAAAATGAGATCAAAGCCCTGCTATAGAGATGTCAATTAAAGCAGCGAAGATAGGGCCAACCCAAAATAGACTACAGACAAGGTCGAAGAGAGCCCACCCAAGGTAAAGAGACAAAGCCAAAAAATAAAAGAAAGAAAGTTCAAAAAAATGAGGCAATTCAAGAAAAGTTTCAAATTTATAACAATAGGCTGATCGTTAGAGAGATTAGTATGATCACTGGAGGCAGCTCTACCTCGGCTAAAAAAAAATTCAATCTAAGCATGGTTATGGCAGTAAGCACCTTGATAAAGAGAGAAAAATATTGAAGAGATGAATTGATCTCATTCAATCCAAAAGATCTTAAAAGAATCTAGCAGCCACATAATGATGCCATAGTGATCATTGTCATAGTGTACAACGATGTAGTTAAAAGAATCCTATTTGATAATGGGAACTCGATCGATGTCTTGTATTACGATACATGAAAAAAATGGGAATCAGTGAAAACTAGCTACAACCGATCACTATGGCACTAATAAGATTTAAAAATAAACAAGTACCGATGAAAAGAACAATCAAGCTACCAATCTTTTTAGGGAT